GTGAGTAAAGCCATGGCCGGCGCACTCGGGAATCGGGCTACGTCGGGAGGGAGGGGGTGAGTTGCGGCACGAGTGGGAGCCGCCGCCGCCGCCGCCGCTGCACCAGAAGCCGCGCCGACCGGTGGACAAGGTTGAAAGGAGGCGGCTGAGGGAAAGGGTAGACGAACCGGCGGCGGCGCCCAGCTCGGGGTCCTCAGCGAGGCCCCTCCTACTGCACCGAGCCCGATCCCGCCCCTCGCTGGGGACTCAGTTTGGGCAAGGCCATTGGCCCGCTGTGGAGGGGAGGCGGGGCTTGAGCGGCTGTGGCGGGGAGGATTGGGCCGCCGGAATCCGGCTAATTAAGGGAGAGGGTGGAGGCGGGGGATCGTGTAGGTGGCTAAAAATATGCCTGAGAACTCAGTTAACTTCCTTTTGCGGGTTTCCCCTTTACCACTAAACACAAGGGAGGTGAATTCTAAGGTGAGTGGTAGAGAAAAAGCCTCAGAACCTTGATCTTGGAAGGTTCTTGAGCGCCTATCCCTTAATATATGATTGTTCCGTTTCTCCTATGCTACCCGTTTGGTATGCTCTACTGAAGAATGTCTTTGGTTAAGGACTCCACGCATATGGAGGGGACATCATGCGGACATAGGCAATGATTGCCAGAGTTCAAGATACTCTGACTACTAGTATGTACGGAGAATGGGCGCAAAGGCAGGAGACCGAATATCCAGTGCTTTCTGTGGGCTGTGGGAAATCCAAGTCTTAAAAATGCCTTCCAGCGCCTCTGGACAATAAGCTCACTGCCGCTCCAGGTGCACACTTGGGAGAGCCGGACCACCCTTCAAGATCTGAAACCAGCCATCAGGCACCCTCTCTTTTTCATATCCATAGGGCCTTTGGGACCCAAGGGGGGTTGGCTGTGTTAGGTACGTTCTTATCCTGTGCTCCCCAGAGACCTGAATGACCCATGGCACTAGTGATTTTCCACACTACACTGACTAATCCCTCTGGGTGGACAAGACCGTAGGACCTTTATACTGCCTTAAGCCTGCCATTGTCATTGACCCAAGGGCAAGGGGACTGTGTAGCTTATCTACAAAACCTCATTAACAAGGTTCAGAGGTTGCAATACCCATCTGAGTCAGGTCTTAATAGACTGAGTTTCTATGTTGTTAGGTCAGGTGCCACTCATAGTGTCCCTATGCACAGAACTGCCCCGTCTTGTACCATTCACAGTCATGGGGGTGTGAGCCCATTGTGCAACCAGTGTTCATTCATCTTGTTGAGGAACTTCCCCAGGAACTCGCCCCTCCAGCTAACATGTCCAAAGTACATAACGCACAGTCTTCGCATCCTCCCTTTTCAGGAGCATTCTGGTTGTACTTCTTGGGCAAACAAACAAAATTTCCCTATTTCCTCATAAGGAGTCTCGTACCTACCAACTAATACTCCTTTGGCTTGGGAATCAGCTAGGTGGGTATTGGGAAAGAGCTTCATACAGAGAAACAAAGCCATGCCCAGAGCAGGCACTGACCTCAGTTACTTCATCGGTGCCTTTGAAGTTCTGTTGATCAACACTTGCTCCCAATTTAGCATCTCACAGAGTATTTCCTCGTAACCCTACAATAGTCTGACCTGGCTTCTTCCCTCTGGTTAATTATCCACAGAGACTAGTCAATAGATCAGAAGATGGAACACCAGTGCCAATACCAAAGGGACAATTCTTGGGTGGCCTAGAAGGACTACCTACACTTTTGGAGGGAGGGTAGGGAACAGCAATTCTCTAAGCCTCTTGACATTCTGGAGCCTAGGGTTATGAAGACTGTATGGGTTGTGTGTGGGTTTTTTTTTGTTGTTTTAAATTGTCAGATTGTGGTAGCCAGTGCTCTGGCCAATAGGAAAGTCTAAGGACTAAGATCTCCCACCCATTGTCTTAGAACTGCTGTATGAACATACAGCGTGTGGGGTCTGGAAAGATGGTGAGCTTGTGGAGAGAGATTGGCACGATTACAGCAGTCAAGTTTGCGCTAGCTCCAAATACAATTGAAGGGCAAGGGAGTTTTAAGGTCCAAGTATTGAGGTCAACCTGACCTTGGGAGGGCCACTTTAAAACTGATATGGAGCAATGGTGCCCTCCTGTGGTCAAGGGCAAGTAAAAGAATGTAGCTAAATTAAAAACCCTTTTCAACTGCTTACACCAGTAATCCAAACCACCTGCGTTTAATAGCTAAAATGTACTAAGTACTTACAACTTCCAAATATTACATAAACGTAGTAGTATATACAGTACTTTATTGATCCTCACAACTCCATATGCCCAGAGAAAGCATCAAGACTCAACATTATTTGCTCCTGATTCATCTCAGAGGTTTTCCTCGTAACCCTACTAGCATCTTTATTTTTAAAGGGGGGAAACCCAGGCTAAAAGTATCCTACCCACAGTCACACAGCTCACAATTGGCATTACCAGAATTCACACTGAGGTTGGCTTCATCCCAGAGCCTGTATGTTGTACTTTTTATAAGGTGATGGACTGTGACATTGCAAGTGAGGAAGGGGACTTCTGAGTCACTGCCTCCTGGGCACGTGAGCTTAGTCTGTTACCGTTAGAGATACTTAAAAAGATACAGAAGTCGTCGTTGTGTCAGTGAGTCCCTTCTGACTCACAAGACTTCTATGTGAAACAAGCGGAAAAGCTCGCTGCCTGGTCCTGTGCCGTCCTGACAATAGTAGGTAATGTGCTTGAGCTCACTGGTGCAGCTACTGGTTCATGATGCCCTGTTCCAGCAACCACTCTCTCTTACTAAGAGGTCCAAAGTATTGTAAGACAAACGCCTGCCATCCTCCCTTCTCTGACTGTACCTCTTCCAAAACTATATGTAGTCTTGCTCATCTGTAAAACCTTTGTACACTTATCTATATCTGAAATACGTAATTGGAGACCCCTAAAATATAAATAGGTTTATAAATAAAGGGAAGGTTTTCTTCATGATTAAAAAACATCACTGCCAACAAGTCAGACTCATAGCAACTCTGTACTACAGGGCAGAACTACCCCTGTGGGTTTCTGAGACCGTTCACTCTACTGGAGTAGAAAGCGTCATCTCTGTCCCTCGGAGCAGCTGGTAGCTTCATACTTGGTCAGGAGCCCAATGCTCAACCACAACCCCACCAGCAGAAAATGGGCTTTTTACAAGGTACAACCAGTCTGGAAACAGTTGAAGAGGGTCGATTGTCACTATAGGATACCAGAATTAGAGCGTGTGCCTTCAAATCTAGAAGTAGGTTTCAAGAAAAGAAGTACTATTTTACATAGGCACGAGAGACATGTGGAGCTTCTACATGAATGGAGGTAAGATCGCCACTGGGGTTGAAGTTTTAGCTCCCTGTGGAATAGCAAGCAACGAACTTCTCAGAGCTGTAAAATCGGAATGTTGTTATTGCTGATTCTGACTCATGGCACCACCGTGTGTACAGAGTAGAACCAGTCCATAGGGATTCCCAGGTTGTGGCCTCGCAGCTGTGGAGAGCAAGCGTTGGGTTGCTAACTTGCAAGATCAGTTATTTCGAAACCGCCAGCTGTTTTGGCAGGAGAAAGATTAGGAGGCTTTTTACTTCCATAAAGAGTGACGGTCTCAGACCCACAGAGGGGGTTTTGCTACCCGACCGAGTCCCTGTGAGTTAGAACAGACTCCATGGCAGATGGGTTGTTTTTCTTTCTTTTGGTCTTCTGAGGTATGGAGGCGTAGTGGGTTATGCATTGGGCTGCTGCCAGGTCAGCAGTTTGAATCCATCTGCTCCCGAAAGCCTCAGAACCACACAGGGCCACTAGGAGGCAGACTGCACTCAATGGCAGCACTTCTTCTGAGTGCCTAGCGGTGGAGTGGTTCACACCAACCTTTTGACCAATAGCCAAGCTTAACTGTTTTTTGCCACCCAGAGAGGTGAAATCTATTAGATGTAAAGATGACATCTTTGCAACATATATGTACTTGTTATATGGGTACTGAACATATTAGTTACCTTGCTTTTCATTCATCTTGTATTGAAAAGACTTTTGTCCCCACTGTCAATCCTTTTAAACACCACAAAATCCTCTTAAGAAAATTTTAAAGGATTCAATTAACACGTAGTATATTCTCCTAGTTACACTTTGGCCTCATTTAGCACTGTCTTTGGGCATATCATTCCAAGGCCCAATCTTACTGAGTCATTGACTTAGAAGGCATTTAAAGTTTTAAAGTACAACCAAATTTGTACAGCTTAAAGTAAATGCTGTCACACACACTGAGCTAGAATTGATTTATACTATAGCAAATTTTCAGAAGGCTGAAATAAATTCATGGAGAATTCCTATGGTAACCTGAGATAGGAATTGAGATACACAAAGGGTGTGCTCCTAACCTCTTGAGCCCGGTCCTGGAGGATAATGTCAGCCGGTGCTTAAGTAGAACCAACCCATACGCACTGCCAGAGTCCACTCTGACTCACGTTCCCCTAGAGGACTGAGCAGAATTGTCCCGGTGGGTTTCTGAGGCTGTAACATCTTTTTTTTTCTTTTCCTTTAAAAATCATTTTACTGGGGGCTCATACAACTCTATCACAACCCATCCATCCATTGTGTCAAGCACATTTGTACATTTGTTGTCATCACATTCTCTACTTGAGCCCTTGGTATCAGCTCATTTTTCCCCCTCCCTCCCGGCCCCCCTCGCAAACCCTTGATGATTTATAAATTATTTTGTCATGGCTTACACTGTCTGACGTCTTCCTTCACCCACTTTTCTGTTGTCCGTCCCCCAGGGAGGGGGTTATATGTAGATCCTTGTGATTGTTTCCCCCTTCCTACCCCACCTTCCCCTCACCCTCCTGGTATCGCTACTCATTATTGGTCCTGAGGGGTTTATCTGTCCTGGATTCTCTGTGTTTCCAGCATTGATCTGTACCGGTGCACACCCTCTGGTCTAGCCAGATTTGTAAGGTAGAATTGGGATCATGATAGTGGGGGGAGGAAACATTAAAGAACTAGAGGAGAGTTGTATGTTTCCTCGTGCTATACTGCACCCTGACTGACTGGTCTCCTCCCTTGACCCTTCTGTAAGGGGATGTCCAGTTCCCTATAGATGGGCTTTGGGTCTCCACTCCGCACTCCCTCTCATGCACAGTGATATTTTTTTGTTCTTTGATGCCTGATAGCTGATCCTATTGACACCTTGTGATCACTCAGGCTGGTGTGCTTCTTCCATTGTGGGTTTTGCTGCTTCTCAGCTAGATGGCTGCTTGTTTATCTTCAAGCCTTTAGACCTCAGACGCTATATCTTTTGATAGCCAGAAGTTTTCTTCACCACATTTATTTATACACCTGCTTTGTTACTTTCCTCTTGTCCCACTATCATGTTCAGCCGTCATTTGGGTTTCAGTAATTCCTCTTGGTTACATTGCCCTTGATCAAGCCCTACTAGGCCTCCTATACCCTCCTTGCCATCAAGTTTGGATCACTTATTGTTCCCTTGTCCCTGGGTTTGTCAACCCCACTCCACACACACACATTCTCCTCTCCCATGCCCCCCCCAACCATCGGTCCCGTTTTCTCCTCCAGATTGTTCATCCAGCCTATCTTATTTAGACAGACCTGCAGAGAAAATAATATGTACAAAAACAAGACAGACCAAAACGAGCAACAAAAGAACAAAAAAAAACACCCAACAATATTTATTGACCTTTAGGAGAGTTTCCCGGTCAAGTCTGATGGGGTACCACGCACTGGCCCCAAAGTCTATTTTTGGTATTCCCTGGGGACTTCACTGCTCTGTTCCCCTTGCTATTCTGTTGCACACCCTTTAAGTGCTTTGCCTCGGTGTGGTGGGGTCAGATCGGGGAGGACATGTCTGATCAGAGCACACAGGAGCAAATGAAGGGGGAGGAAGAGGGAGTGGAGCACATCCTGGCCCACCAGGCCATGAGGACGTTATCTCTGCTCAGAGCAGCCAATGCACAGAGAGGATCATATAGCCGGCCCCACTACAAGACACGACATCCCTCACTGACCCATAGCCCTACAGGACAACACTGGAGACAGTGCAGGAATTGCGCCTGATCTGGCTGTAACATCTTTATGGGAGAAGCCTCCTCTTTCTCCTGTGGAGCTGCCATTGGGTTCAAACTGCTGACTTTGTGGTTAGCAGCCACCAGGGCTCCTACCCCTGTTTATCAATGACAGCTTCTCAGGCTGGAGCGCTTAACAGCTGTACTGACAACCTAGTGAGGTACAGCACAAGTAAATTGTTATCAGCTAAAATTAAATTTATTAAAATTTGTGACTACTTTGCATTTCTTATAAAGTTTCAAGTTCCCTACAAGAATACATAAACATTTCTGATTAGCTTTTGATGGAAAAGAAAGCAGTATATAGATGCCAAGCAGGCAACAGCCAGATGCCTGAGCATACTCAGAGGGAGGTGAAGCATGTGAACATCACTCAACTGCATCACACAGATGTGTACACACACACATCGCTGGTCTGGTAAACGTGATATGATGGAGAATTTCCGGTGGCTGATAAGAGAACATCCACCGAGCTCTGCATTTAGCTGCTCTTTAACTTCAGAGTGCTGGCTCAGAGGTAGGCAATGTGCTAGAGTTCGTGTTTGTGAGTATATGCAAGCTTTGTGGAGTACATTTATCCTGTCTGTCAGGCACACAAGTGCAAGGTATTAAAAATGGAAAAGTACAGGAGGTACTCTACAACAGTAATAGTAAAGATTTGGTAACATTGGCTTATGAACCCAGTTTTACCACTAAATACAAAACTTTGGGACCTGCGGCCTCTCTGAGCCTGTTCATCTATACAATGAGCAGAGGTGAACTAGATGATCCTCAAGGTCTCTTTGGGTTCTAAAATCTATTGCTGCAGTTTGAAAGGTCTTGGCATGTTTATTCAGAGGCATTCCCGGGCAGAGGTACTCTATTCCAAACCCTGAGTCAGCCATCCCTCAGCACCATGGCACTTAACCAGCTCCCAGGTGGGCTCCTGTAGGTGCTGATGCCTGTCTCCCTGTGTAGGTTTGCTGGGCACAGAAAGTAGGAACACTTAGACTCCAGACTGACAATGAACTGGTAGAGATTAAGAAAGACAAACTTCATTGTTG